TAGCAGCACAGAGAGCTCAGGAGTCCCTGCTCCAACAACGGAGAATGGCTGCGAGCGTCTCGTGGACACGCACGCGGAGCAGCCAACTTATAAATAACAAATGGCCCAGTGCATCGTGGGGCGGTGCTAACACGGTGGACGACGGCTGGTGCCCACTAAGCACAGTGCCAAGGTTTGGGTCTGTGCTGGGCAGGACGTCAGCCCTTTGGGATTTGGAACCAGGAGAAGGAAGTGTGCCGAGTTTGCTGGCATCTTCATAAAGCAGCTGGAGGAACCTGGAGGCCCCTGGCACTAGCACTCCGCCTCGCTCGTCGCTGCTTGCATCCCGGTGGCGCTCGAACAGGAGATCGGATATCCTGGGCTCTGTACCGGACGTGGTGCTTGCCTTGGGGAAGCCACGGAGCGCTCGGCCAGGCAGTGACCCCCTCACCGCAGCACTGCAAGATTCTGCTACGGAACATTCCTGGGTGCTTTGAGGGCCTGAGATAAAGGGGCAAGAGAGGAGGAAGAGAAACGTCTCTGGTCTCTGCACATGGCTTTACATGGCCTTAGCGCTAAGGAGCTGCTAGTTCTGGGGACAGAAGTATGGTGATGCTTCCGGCGAGCGTGGAGAGCTGGGAACGTGACACCAAGTGAAACGCAGACGACTCCATTGGCCTTTATTTGCTTTCTAAGTCTTCTCACTTGAGAAGGTGAGGAGGAGACGCTGCCGTCAGGGACTCCTGCCTGCGCACACGTGCAAAGCGCCTTTCACTCTGGCCTAAGGGAGCCGGGCACTGGTCCCCTCACTGGCTTGTCTCCTCCCGCTTTGTCCAAACAATCTTCCAACTCAGCAAGTGCACGCCCAGGGGCCTCCCCTCTGGTGAAAGGCTGAAGGACCATGGCGTCCAATCAGCTAGTACTGGGGCTACTCCTGTACACCCAGCCACACAGCCACGTGTGGCTAGTGGCTGGCACGTTGCACAGCACGGCTGTAGGAGGACCCAGGGCCCAAGGAGATAGGAAGATGCTGGGCCCCACTCTTGGTTCTAGGCAGCAGGATGATGCTCCCTTCGGCCTTTGCCTTGGTTCACAGGGCGAGAAGGCAGGCCTACCCGCTCAGGCTCTGGGGATGCGGAGCCCATCCCCCCCCCCCCCCCC